TACTGAATTTGCAAATATATTTTAAACCTTAAAAAAAAAATCTTTTCCGGAAATACAATAAGTTTTCTCGGTTATTAATGGATGGATCACAAATAATATAAATATATTTTCGGTAATTTATCTATATACCTATATATTATAAAAAATAATTCAATATAGTTAGGCTACTCGGGTGGAACCTTGTAAATTGAGATAAATACCATTAAAGATGTCGAAAACAATTTGTATTAGTTAATACTATAATCAATTATTTGAAAAAAAAAATAAAATTAAATTTTATCGTAACCTTGTGCATTTTCCAAAGTAAGTGGAACGCGAAATTAAGATTTCCATTTAGAACGATTCTATAAAAAAAAAAAAAGAATACTTCTCGGATGATAAAACAAGAAAATAAAATTATACAACTCATTTTAAGATAAGTAAATTTCTAAAGACGGCCAATAAAAATGCAGGCTCAAACTGGCGCCACTTGATAACCGCAAAGCCCATAAATATAGAATCGCCGGTTGCAACTCCTGACGAAGACGGATAGAGACCTCTAGTGACGCAACGGCCAACGTAGGATACACAGATCTAAATAGGTCGGCGCCGAATGGATTATCTTACAGACTACATAAATATAAATGTTATGTATTCATAGTCGATAGATTTATAAATTCAAGGAGCAATCGGCCATTTTGAGTTGGGAATAATTATCATGTGTGCCACTGGTTTTTTTTTTTTTTAATTTGTAATCATAAAAGTTGACTATCAAATTTTCTTGAAGATAGCATTGGAAAACAACATGGGAAAGTATCTTTAATGAATGAAAACAGGACAAAAGGCTGTTAGTTTCGTGCAATATGATAAGAAAGCAAATATGTTTAAATAAGATACATATTTGGTTAAAAAAAAAAAACTATTAAAAACAGTTATAAAATCGTAGAGAAATAAGCCAATTTCAATAAAATAGAAACATAATTATAATATATTGTCATTTTAAAATTGGTATTTTTTACTGAAAATGCTTAAATAATATAATGAAGTTAATTGCGAACAAGTAAACTTTCGCCAACTCAGGAATCTTCAGGATAAATTTGCTGTCAATTCGTAGTAACAGTTATGCAACAATGCTACAATTCCCCTCCAGAAAAGGTAATCACTTTTAAAAAGATAAGAATCCCGAAGGTACTTTATTTCGCTACTTTACATTTTTTATTATTTCCTGAACATACCAAATAAAACATTATTAAGTTCTATATAGGTAAATAAATATGTTTTTATTTGGTTCACAAATTTTTCATCAAGTGTATCCGTTTATGAAATGCAACTCACACAGGCTATGTGGCCCTTGCATCGGTTGCATAGGCGTTTTTTATTCTGCACAGCAGAATTCAATAACAAACCATACCAAAATCCTTAAAGATTCAAGAACATCACACGTCAACATGTATGCCTTCTAAAAACCAAGAATAGGATAAATTTTTCTCATCTATGTGTATAATACCACAATCAAATCTTTATCTCGGAGATAAAGGACATCATATCCATTTCTTTATTAAATAATTTAGTAACTAAGAAACAAATAGCTTTAAGTTATGGAAAATTGACTTCCCAAAACAAATACAAAAATGGACATGGCGTGTCTTACCTCCAGGATACAGAAATAATGAATTGCTTAATAGAACCTTTCATTTGACAGTAGATATTAAGTAGTTGTACAAATTAAATAGTTGAATACTTTCGAAGGTGTCTTAATTGATTTAATGTTAACTTGTTACAAGGAGTCTCAAGGTTATTAATTCGAAATCGTGGTTGAATACGAGTATTCATTGGAAATCATTGATTCTATTCTGGTTCACGATATTTTCTTATGACGTTATTCTCAATATAGACGGTAGAGTATTCCGAAAATAATATCTAATTATTTGAAAACAAATAAGACTTGGTATAGATCCGTGCAGACTACTCAATTTCAACCGTTACTCCCGGAGAGTACGAGAGAATACTAAACCACTCTCTTTGAGGACTGGATGAAAGCCGAGAAATATGACCGGTATCGAAACGAGATAGGCCTCTCCGTTTCACTGTCTCACTTTTTTCCCTCCGCCTGCTCAACCTTCTTGGTCAACTTTTTTCATGCTACTTAAGAATTATTTATAAGCGTAGTCCTGACCACTCCTCCGCCGCGGCGCCACCGATCTATTTAAATTGAAATGGCCGCAGTTTGGGTGAAAAAGATTGAACAGGCGCCTGTCTGCTCCGGAAGGTTGCCAACACCGGAGTGCAGAGGGCTCGTAAAGGACAAGTTCACAATACGATAGATCCAACGAGGCCCTCATCTACGATGGCATTCCGATACGTCCGGGGCGTAAATGTATATATAACGTGTATAAATATACATCCAACCTTGGGAGGAAGGCGATGGAATAGAAAAACATTCTGTGTGGAAAAACGTAGCAATACTACTTGAGCAAGTGCGGAAAGTATTTATGATCGTTGACATAAATCACAGATTTACTATTAAAATAAATGGAAATACATAATTAATAAAATTTACTATGCCAGAAAAGAAACGCGTACAATGTTACATTTGTGGAAGAAAAAAAAAATTGTAATAAATCATAAGCATCGATATAATAGTCAATCTGTGTCCTTGAGGACATTTCCTGCAGGTTTTACTTCGCAGTATAATCTGAAATAAAAAAGTGGATAAATAAATCTAGTTTCTTATTTATTCTAAACGAGTTATTGATTTATAAAGCAATGAATAAAGTTGATTAGAGCCGCAATTATACGCAGAAAGAAACGAGGGGGGAGACATCCTTTTCCTCGAAAGTGGTCGAGGAAAAAGCTAGGACGAAGAGCACACAGGCGCGAACGTAGCCTGTGTCCTTGCTAGGCGCCGGACTGCTACCCTTGGTATTTCAGATGAAATTTTTATCGGCCATATCCGTTTGCCAGGTCTCCTTCCTGGTCTGCAACCTTCCATCCTTCTATACCAAGTACACGCTTAAATAAAATATGGTTGGATTCAGAAAGCGTCCACACGTTCAAAATGATACATTCAAATAAATAAGAAAAAGTACATATCTCTACTGTAAGTGCAAAAGGTTGTATGTGAAAATTGATTTTTTTTTTTTTTCAAAGGAGCATACAAACTGATATTTCATTATAATTTATTAATATAATTTCATATTTAGTTTCTCTACAACATGTTTCAGAGTAGCAACCTATTAGCAGTTGCAGACAAGAAAATATTAATTTAGCACAAATTGAATTAACATAGAAAATTGTTACATACGACCTTTTTCACTAACCGTAGCGATATGTTTTTTGCACGAAAGTCGAATAATCTATATTAACAAGACACCCATGTTTCTCGAAAAACTTAATCAAGAATAAATGTAGATGGAAAAAAATATTAAAATGGTGCAATAAATAAGTTATATTTAAGGTAAAGGAAGTATGAAAATGACTAATTTTTTTCAGCTTTTAATTATTCCTAGTAAGTTATTTAAAATATATATTGAAATATCACTCCCCAAAAAAAATCTAAAAGTAAAGTTATAGCCAGAGAACAATCTGTGATATAATTTAGGTCAATAAAAAGAGATCAGGAAATAAAAAATTATGCAATTTCTTTTAGATTGGTTAATGCCAATAAATTTTACAAAAAAACATATATTGCATCTATACTATAAAAAATACAATTCTATAAGTTTTATATTTTTTTTGGAGGTAAGGATGGCAAAATATGGCTTTTGGTAAAATTGAATGGCATTATAACAAAAAAAAAAAAATACATAATTTTTTGTAGTTATTTTTTTTAAAGAGTCGTTGTAGCTTACAATCAGTTCACTGGTCACTTGAAACTCTCGAAGCGTTCATCAGTGTATCCAACGAAGTATAATATTCAATAGAAATGTAAAATTAAAGTTTAATAGGAAAATAATTAACGAAAAAGAAAATTTAGAATATTTAATTTTAAAATTTTGAGATATTTATTTTTTTAAAGTTTTAGGTCAAATTTTATTTTTTAAGTAAAGTTGCTTAAAAGAAAACAGATAACATAAACAAGTTGCTTGTCCGAGTTAACAATTCTGTAAAGATAAGTATACACTATATGTGTGTAAGTCCATCTACTTATTAGAACAATGTACCATTGTAAATAAACTCTTGTAAATTAAACATCACAACGCAAGCCATTAATAAAAAAAAAATTAAGAAAGGCTAGTGTGTGAGCGGACAAATGACATAGTACGAAACTAGGTCGTTGTAGGAGCTCCAGCGCTATTCCAAGAAGACTGATTGGATTAAAGGCAGCTCATTATCCGAGATCTCGAGCCTTTATCATTTTTGATTGACTGTATCTTCTAATTAGGTGATACACAATCTTAAAAAAAAAGTACTCTGTCGAAATCTACAGTTCTTCAAACAAAACCTTCTAAAATAATGTGAGCTTAGTGATTAAGCAAAACATACTTAGTTAATATGGTTCAGATCTAAATTAGTCATAGGTGTAGTTCAAAAAGTATAATGCTTGAAACTTAGTATTGATGGACGAGAATAAGGCGTTAAGTATACATTAACCAACCATTTCTTGATAATAACTAACGATAAGACTCAATTAAATTAAGTTGCTTGGAAAAGGCAATGAAATGCTTCCACATTTGCCTATAAAGAACCTAGGAGGGATCGAGTCGTGCAGATGCCCTTACTATTTCGGGACTAGCCCATTAATCTCCCAACGAGAGGGAAGAAGAGTACAAATCCAGTCCTGGTAAAATCTTCAGACGAGCGCGAAAGGCACGTATCTTCAGCTTTTGTGGAAACGCGGGGAGTTCATTTCCAAGCCATGTTCGGAGGGAGACGACAACCTAAACAATGCAAAGCATAACTTGTTAACTGAAGACACTTTGGTTTTAGAATGCTGATGGGCACCGGCGTTCGTCTACCGAATAAAATTAAGTCGAATTCGCCCATAACCCTCCCGGGCTAGAGGCGATTGGAATTCAACGATGGAAGAGCGTTGTTTTCATTTTAAAGAAAGGACGTGCAATTTACAGGAGCGTGGAGGGGGGAGGCGCCAGACGGCGGCGTGCTCTGTCGGCGCGATTTGTAAACAGGCTGCAAGAGTAAACATCCGTCCGGTCCGATCACGTCCACACGGCCATTATCAACCGATGGTGAAATTTCGGGGCATCGCTATGTACGGGAGTGAGGGTTTCCTATGAAGGCTCCTGCATATGTAAATGGAGTCGAGGAGCCCCAGTGGGTCAGCTTGCTGCAGAAAACAAATAATTCACAACCCCTCCCGCATATTAATATTAACAAAGTAAAAAGTAAATACGATGCGTAGTGATGTAAAACCATTATGTGGCCAAAAAGAGAAAATTAGATAAATGGAAAATTAATAATTGATTTTCCGGTCTTAATTAATTTGAAGGTATCATGAATAGCAAATACAAAACTTCCTTCAAATCCAGATTTTTCGTTAAATTATTATATATTATTGTTTGAAAAAATGGTCAGTGATAAGGGCAAACCTGCTCTTTTAAGGGATCGAATAAGTTACTAATCAGAAAGACGACTCTTTCATGATTTACTGATTCATTCAGTACAAGTAAGGTTTCCTGGAGCTTCATTTGCCAAGTTATCCGTTTTAATTAGAATGATATCTAGTAGAAACATTTATTAACTCAACTAAATTCCTTTTTTTTCTCTGGACTATTGATCACTCAGTAACAGGAATGAAATATTTGAATCAGTTCCTAAGCTAACTCACCAATGATGGACATCAAAATAGATTTCGATAATGATGCCCTCACTGCAGCCTCCAAGGTCACCGATCAGCTTATGGTTTTACATTTATTTATTTATGGATCAATGAGGGACTGAAATACTAAAATGGACGTTTAAAAAGACCCGGCTTCCTTCCACTTCCTTGCAGACGCTGACAACCCGACCTGTCAATTCCACCCCGACCAGAAGGTAGGCCCCGCCAGGCCCGGAGGGTGGCGGAAGAGCAGAGGCAGGGGTCGACGACCGACTAGAAGACGAGGATAAAAGGAAAACCGAAGATGGAATGTATTAAGAGAGCTTGGGCTAGTTGTGAGCGAGGAGGCCGCTAGGCGGGAGGCGCCAATCTATAAATAGCGTCCCAGCCGCCCCACGTAAACACCATCAAATCCACATTTTACGCACATATCACGCCTATCGTACTCTTTGCAAATACTACCGATCTCTCAAGTTTATAGAAAATATGTCGGTGGTAGTGCCAATAGAATTCAAGCCCCCAACTTTGTTTCAATATCCCACCAACAACCCGGCTAAATGACTCATAACTTCTCGAGATGCTTTGGTTTCTAATACAGTTAATTGTAACTGAATAATGAAGAGATACAGGAAACAATAATTATAAAATTAAAGCTAATCGCTCAGAGATCTAAATCAAAACAACTAACGATTTAAACTGACCACTAATTGGAAGATGAAAACTAGTGATTTAAAACAGTCAAGATATATGTTCAAAGAGAAACAGAGGATAGCTCACCTTCATTATAAAAATTAATGTAATTATATCAGAATCTATATATATCATATTACATATATGAAATGCATATACTTGTTGTATATGCATATCATATGTTTCAAATATTTTTTTATTTTATTGTCGGGTATATAAATACTAATTTGCAATATTTCCACGACTGCTGAATATGTGTCTAGACATATGAAGTTTAAAACTGGATTTAAGATATTTTGTGGACCGATTTACGAACATTACAAAGGCAGTGGAGGTTGAGTAAAAGCTGTAAATATAAGTGCGAATACTGATAGTGAAGGATTTTTGCCAGGGAATCATTGCTGATTATAATTTGTTTATAGATACTAATAAAATTCATAAAAAGATTCCTTCTGCTAGAAATAGCAGTAGAGAACAGAACACAAGAGGATAAAAAGCTATCTTATACAGAGAGAGAGAGAAGAAGCAGAATAGAAAAACAATTAATAACAAATATAAGCAGATTTCCAAAATTAAAAATAAAATAAAATAATAATAATGTTCACCTTTTATATAAACAAGATAAAGTAACTTGGATATTAATTTTTTTTTTTTTAATTCATTTTAATATTAAATGGAGCTTATACTTGATAAGTCTTTTATCTTTCACTGTGATTATTGCTTTGAGAATTATTAGGCACAGAACTTCTCAAATATGGAAGCAAATAAATTTATCGAGATAAAAAAAAAAAAAAAAAACAAGTAGACGAAGTAAAATGGGAAAATACTTAAATTAAGGAGGGAGATAGAAAAAAAAAAAAAAGATAGGAAAGCTTTCTGAACAGCATCGCTGACTCACTGAGGGACAGGAGCTAACTAAAAATATCCCCGCACCCACGCAATAAAAATACACCCTGACCGAAATATGTCTGGGCGACTTCGTCAGCTTTTGATAATCCTCGCCTCGAATAAACGTTACTACTACAAAATTTTTATGTTAAAAACTATGATATAAATTAATTTTAGAATAAAAAATCTATTATCTCGATGAGAAAGTGTCGGATTTCCTTAGGATTAGATCAAAAGATATGTATTCCATTCATTAATTTACACAATCCAGTTTGGAAATACACTTTACCGATAAACTGATATAAATACACGTATTCATCAACAAGAATCGCAAAGACATAACATCACTCCAATTCTATAAATACAAATCAGCATACATACTCCAACTCATCGAAACGTTTCACAGAAAAATACAAGGTCGTCCTAATGGACTCGTACTAGACATCGCAGACTATAAAAAAAGGTAGTCGAAAAGAAGATGGATAAGAGACAGTACATTACTAACGAAAACAATCTTGCTTCCAGGCCCAAAATAATGCCGTTATCATAATTTTACACTTTTTACATCGTAAAACATTCTAAGAATATTTACAAAAGTCTGTTTTCCTGCAAATCTTAGATAAGCTATGAAATAAGAACGTGATTTTTACAAATATTCAGGGAAAGATATTTTGCACCCAATCGCAAATAATCTTTGAGAAAAATGTAGAAGAGGTAAAACATAAATCATAGTTTAACTATTATCAAAGGAAAAATAACTAAAGGATAAATAAATAAGTCCTATACTCGAACATCCTACAATAAATAAATGATGGAGTCCGTAATATTTAATTATAAACAATTAACCGAGAGCTGAGAAAAATTACGCAATCTGGCAGATATGTATCTGTTCTAGTTCCGAGAATTGATAAAATACAATGCAATAGATTTGATTTAGCTCTGCAATAATAAAACATTCTCTGGTAAAGGAGAATATTTATTATATTCTTTAATCCAAAAGAGCTATTATATATTTAATTATTGTACAAGATATTTTATTATGAAAGGAAAACGTAAAAACAATTACAGGTGTGACGATAATTCTAAAAAATTGCCGATTTGATAATTACGTTGTTAGTTCGAACTAATGGTACTAGATAATTCTGGTAATTTTTATTATGCAACAGACTTGCAAACAATAACCTAGAACAAATCAGCCTGATGTAATAGCCAGAAGAATTTTTAGTTTACTGCGTGCATAGCTCATTCTTAGCAACAAGTGCAAAGTAAGCAAGACACTGCTGATCGCAAAGCCAAGTCACACTCCTCGCGATTCAATACTGCATTACAGTGTCGACAAGCATTGTGTAATTTATATTGAAAAAAAAAATTTTATTCCTCAATCTGTCATTGATTTTACGAATACATTCTTGAATATTTTAAAATTTGCAAACATACAGGAACTCTCCGACATGACTGATTCACCAACATCCCGTCATTCCTACCCATCCCAAAGGCACTAAAGATAAACCCTCCAGTCAGATATCTTCCCTTAATGAGGTATCGAGTGGTTCCGCGGATCGGAATCCTCTGGCATAAATAAAAAGAGCCGGCGAAGACCCATTCGCGGGGGACGTTAAAAGGATATTGGCTATGCTAAAAAGGTTGCGAGGTAAGTGGCCCGTCTTATCTTAAGCGGCCTACAGAAAACACTCCGATGCCAAGAAAAAACATCACTTACCCAATAGTTCAACCCCGGCATACATTTAGATTGCTCTCCGTCCTATCTCTTCGGGTTACCTGCTTCAGGCAACGCCTTCTCTCACTTTTATCTGACACACAGTCCAATGAAAAGTATGTCTTAGGAAGGAGTATTTACCAAAAACGGAGGAACTTAATAATAGCACAAATATACTATTACTGATCATTACTTAAATGCACAGTATGGCTGTAACAGCGACATAATAAATTCTACAGGACATCGTAAAAAGGAATTCAGAATAAAAAAAAAAAGTAGAAAGTAAAGTTTGATTTAGGTTATAGGAATCTTATGCATTATAAAATCTCGTTTACTGTTTTATTTAGGACCTACGGAGTAGAACTGTGGGGGATAGCAAAATATTTTAACATCAAACGCATTCGATCCTTTCAGTCCAAAGTCCTTCGAACAATAGTTGATGCTCCGTTTTGTCTACCCAACAAAAATCTACACCATGACCTTAATATCCCATTTATCCTAGACCTTATACCAGAAAAATTTTCTAAATTCCATTAATAACTTACATTTTCGACCAAATCCAATTGCAAAATTTTTATCTACCTCTGCCAATCGATAGAACCCTCCTCGAAGGTTGAACAGGCAGCGGTCCCCCAGACCTGTTGTAAGAATATATTGGAGTTCTGGCAATGGCCAGATTCTCCACCTCAGCCATGTATGTGTGGTTATTGGGTCTCTGCTCAGCCTCCACTGTTCATTAATTCCAGTAATGGGGCTGATTAAGAGGTGCTGGGATCTCTTAGAGTCCTGCCTTACCTTCCAAAAGGGAGGGAGGGGGGCTTGGTTGGGAGATCTTGAGTGAATGAATTTTGTAAACATTGTATAAAACCATGTGTGCATATACGTAGCTATTTTGATTAGTTCTGTTTCTTTTAGTGTATATAATTTAATTTTAGTATTATTATTTTTCTGTTTATTTATTGTACGTATTGTATGAATATATCTTAATAAAGAATTTTCGAAACTGTTATTTTTATTTACACACTAGGAGAACTCAATCGTTATAACCCAATATAATGAACCAATACTTTTGTTGTAGATATCTCTACAAACATTCAACGATCGTACGTTGAGAACATCATGAATATCTCAACATAATTTTTTTGTAATTATTTATAAATTGAAGAGGATTTGAAAGACAAAAAGATAAATGCTTTATGAGACTATAAAAACATTAACAAAAATGTCGGTTATATACGATTTAATTAAAATTTAAAAGGTTTTCAACGATAGAAGCTGTGGAAAAGAACTTCAACAGATAATCGCAAGGAAACGATTCATGAAAACATTTACCAAGTGTTCATCAAAACATTCATTAACATTTAAAATATAAATTAAATGTATATATAAAAAAAAATAATGCGTTTTCTATAACTTTGGAGTGCTAGTTTGCAACTAATACATACTCCAAAAGTTCCCTAGAAAGCAGTAGGCGAATGTCCTTATTTTTTATTAAGTAATTTTTTTAATTGTACGACTAATACAATTAAGTTCAATCTAAATAAATTTTTTTATCGGTTATTACATCTCCACTTCCTGAGATGCTTTTTGATTTAAAAATATATTTTTAATTAACAATATTAATAATAATAATGATAAATTATTGTCATTCAATAATCGCAAGTATAAAAATCGAATGTAAAAATACCAGGGAGCGAGTACGTGCGAGGAGCCCCAGTGATTATGCTTGATAAGTGACGACGCCAAGGACATCACTGATAAGAAATGTTTGTTCTCCCGCCTTATAAGTCTACCAGCAGGTCCTACGGCCGCAGTGTGGTTCCGCCAAATAAACTGATTTGATCATGTTTAATGAAGCCTGATAAAAATATAATAATTAATTGTTAACTTGAAGAACCTTGGAAAATGGTTATGGGTGCTATTAAGCCGATGATAAGAACCAAGTATGAAAATGGAAATAAAAAAATAAAAAAAACGTAATGAGCTCGTTCATAG